CCGGATCCCCTCACCATCCTGAGATGCTGAGTCTTTGCAGGTCAGCAGACCCCTCCTGGGAGTCTAAGCTCCTCCTCCAAATATCACAGGAGCAGGCACCCAACACTCACTTCAGTAGTCCAAATTCTGCTCTGTAAATCAACCCTGGACCACAGTGCTGAAGCCCTGGGAGGCTGAGGGCAGATTATTCCCCAGACCTCAGGCAGGCCGAAGTGGTGAGGGGAGCGCTCCCGGCACCTTCTCTAATGACATGGCCAGAACATCAGTGGTCGCTCCAGGTGTGATACAAAGATGCTGTGTACGCCCACTCCTTTTAGAAAAGGAGTCAAACGTGGCGACACATACAACGAGTCCTGGCTGCCTGGGTGATTACTGGAACCATTCGGATTAGTTGCACTAGTTGTGTGCATTTTGTAAGGCAATGGCCCAGGAGGGTACATTTTCATTCAGCAGTTTGTTCATCTGTGCCTTCCTGAGTGCACAGTTGGTGTAGCTCCTAATTCATTCTAGTAAAGAAAATCTGAATATAGTTTCTATTAATTTTATGACACCAGCTCTGTTCATTTAGTCATTCCACTCTTCTGCAATTTTCAATCAGCACAACATGAAATGCACACCCTGCAGGATGGCATGTGGGGGACACTGAAGGGGGCGGAGAAAGAATTTGCCAAGACCACACAGAGCCGGGAAGTGGGGGCTGAGGGCCCTGCTGGAGGGTGTGGGTGGTTCCCAGATGGGGTGGTGCTGGGCCATCTCTTTGGACTTGGAGCTGCTCTCCCACCGCCAGCTGCCTTCCTAGAGCTGTGGTCTCATCCAGGCGGATGCTGGAATGGTGCTTTCAGGGCTGAAGGTCCTATGGGTGTGGCCCTAGGTGCAGGGCATGGGTGATCCTGGCCTGAGTTCTGCACCATCTGTCCTGCACTGGTGTGCTGGTGCCCACCCATAACCCCAGCATCAGGAGGCTGAGGCTATAAATTTTTATTTAAAAATGTAGAAATCTAAAAAAAATGTAGAAATCTGTATTCAATGAAGCTATTAATTTGCATAAAAGTAGCATAGCTAACCCAGATATTTTAATCGAGTGAAGTCCTATCATACTTTTTAATGCTTTGTTCTCTCTGCATTTGCTTATGTAGATGTTAGAAATACTTGTGCTTTCTCCCTATTCAGCTGGTGAGGGCCTGTGTCACATGCGTTCCGCTCCTTGGCAGCAAGGACTGTGCTCACAGATAAATCGAGGCCAGATTTGGAGGAGGAGGAGGAGGAGGAGGAGGAGGAGGAGGAGGAGGAGGAGGAGGAGGAGGCCGAGAGGCAGGTGAGCAAGGCAACTGCAGCTGACTTCTTCAGAGATGTGGGGTCTGGGGCAACGCTGACCTGCTGAGACTCTCTCTGCCCCTTCTCAGTGCCCAGCAAGAAGGCGACTGGGCTTGGCCGGTACAGTGTGAGAAGGGTCCACTGCCAGCCTCACGGAAAACTCACTACTGTGGAGACCGAGGTGCTGGAAGAGACTCTTCAGAAGGTGGACGCGTCAGCAGGTGCCCAGAGACTGCGCTGGAAGACGGAATTTTCCTTCTTACAGAACGTCCATTATCGGTAACATGACTACCATTTTCTCATGAGAGAAAATCAGGGGTTAGTTACTTCCTGCTACCACATTACAATTTTTTCTCCAGGAATTACTGGCTAGGATTTCTTTGTTATCTGAGAAATACAGTATGTAAAAATAAAGCACCGGGCTGGGGATGTAGATCAGTGGTTCTGCCGCCTGCCTCACAAACACAAGGACCCGAGTTTGGTCCCAGGTACCAAAAAAATAAAAAATAAAATAAAGAAATAAAGCACTAATGTACAGTGTGGTGGATTTCCACCGGCACTGTGTCTTCCAAAGCCAGCAGTTACATAAACATTTAAAATGTGAGTATCTCTTATATTATGTCATCCATTTCAAACAGGAAAATAGCAATGATGATAAAAATAATGGTAAGTGGGCAGAGGATTGAGCTCAGTGGTTCTGCTGCCTGCCTCGCAAACATAAGGTCCCAAATTCAATTCCCAGTACCAAAACAAACAAAAAAACAGTCACAGTGTCAGTACTTGTAGTCTGCACTTTTATAACTTTAGTAATATGAACCAAGATCATTTATTTTACTTACTTTATTTCTGTAGCTAAGAACTCTACCTTGAATTTTATGTTTATAACTTAATTTTTATGTCTGCCTTTTGGGTTTCTGATAAGGAAAAGGTCCAACCTCACTTCTCTTTATTTGGACCACAAATTACTCACCATGATTCTCTGAGAAGTTCTAATTTCCTCTCATAGTCACAAACACAAGTTTTTTTGAATATCACATTTTTACATGAATGTGAATTAGCTTCTAAACTCCACTTGTGTATTCCTGAGGCAAAGGCAGTGGTCTTCATAAGCTTAAAAGTAAAGATCCATAAAGAATTGCCAAAGCGTCTCAGTAGCAGGACATCGCCACTCTCTCGACCTAGTTCTCTGTTTCCTTCTGTGAGGCTTCATTTGACGTCATGTCCACTCTATACGTAGGTTTGGCGGGAAAGCAGAGACTTCGTTTATACTGAGATTTCTATCCCGTGCCGCTCCAGACGGGCTGTGCTCTCTGTCCTTCCGCTTTTAGTTCTTCCCACTCAGCCGTAACGGAAACCGCCTTTCTACTACATAAAGAAGTAGCGTCAAGTAGCCCTCTTTCAGAGAAATGTCAATCTGATTATAACTTTTATAGCCACAAATATTGAACACAAAAATAGAAACATGGGGCTGCATTAAACTACAGAGCTTTACTCTCTGTCCCTGTATATATAAAGGTCCAATCTTTATATATAGTAAATATAGTAAATGATGATCCAGGGACTGGAAGGAAATATTTGCAAATCAGGGAATGGGTTAGGGACAAATTGTCCAAAACACATAATGAACTCAGATTACTCAATAACGAGAAAAGAAATCACCCTATTCAAAAGGGCAAAAGACATTTTTTTCAAAAGACCATTCAAATGGTTAATAATATATGAACAAATTCTCATTGTCCTGAACCCCTGAAAAGTCCATATGAAAGTGAGACTAGAGCAAGCTTATTGATTCCTCTCCAAAAGGGGAAAGGCCAGTGAGGCTGTGCACATTCTTGGTGGGTTCCATAGTGATGCAAACATTCTGGAGGGAAGTACTGGTGTTAATCGCGAAAGTGAAAATAATACTGCCAAAGAAATCAGCTATCACATTTCTGGGCACATAAAGAAAGGAGTTTAAACCAAGGTGTCCACGTCTCAGCACCTCCCACAGCAGGGTGGATGTGGAAACACCAGACTGCCTCTCAGCAGTGCTGGGTTCCAAAAGCAGGGCTAATACAGGCAGTGGTACACATGTAGCTTTGCAGACGCAGGGAGTGCTGTAAGGGACCACATGGGGAACCTAAAGCACTTCATGGAACCAGGCATGAAGACGCAGGTAACAGTCCTCCGTTACATGTGGGATCTGCAAAGAAAGCCAAACTCAAAGGCTTGAGGAGTAGACAGACGGTGGTTAGCAGATGCTACTGAAGTGCAGGCAGAGAAGAGTGAGACACTGGACAAAGGTTACGGTGATAGTTAGACAGCAAGAGTCCCCTTTGATGATCTGTTGGACTGCGTGGTGACAATAGTTAATAATGACCTAAAATACAGTTCAAAATAACTATGAGACAGCATTTTACATGTTCTCTCCAGAAAGAAGTGAGAAGTATTTGAGGAGATAGAAATGTTAATTGGGCTGCTTTTTGTTCCAAACATGATCCAAAACTTCACATTATTCTTCATAAATAGAGATAATTATTATTTGTGTGTTTTAAACAAAATTGAAAAGGAATTTTTTAAAGGATGACAAGTATCTAATACTACTCATTTTAGCATTTTTTTGTTTTGTTTTGTTTTGTTTTTTGGTACCAGGGATAGAACGCAGGTCCTTGCAATTGCAGGGCAGGCAGCGGAACCACTGAGCTAAATCTCCAGCCCTCATTTTAGTGTTTAAATGTTAATTCATAAAATGCTACTTTTCTATACATAAATAAGCACATGCACAGAATATGGATAAAAGCACTCTGGCATGGACCTTAACAACTTCGAGGGAGCCCTTTCCACTCAGATGCAAAGATGGAAGGATCGTGAAGCGTCTGTGCACACAGTGAGGTGTTCAGTAAAAATAAGATGCAGTGGAGTTTTTCCCCTTGTGATCATTCTTCTACCCAGAACCAAAAGCCTCAGTCACTGCTACTGTCTCCGAAGTCACTGCACCTGTGTTGATCTCTTCTGACTGTTGCATCTGGCCAGCAAAGCACTGGTCTCCACTCTATTGGACCCCACATTCTAATGACAAAAGCATTTTGAATGAACACTACTTTCTGTTTATTTTCCACTTGGTTGATTTTAATTCACAGTTCTTGTTTTACTGTGAGTAATGAAAATATTCTGAATTCAGGACTAGTATATTGTGAGCAAACCTTTATAAAAGTTAATTAAAACATCACTTCAAAGAGAAAAACGTAAATCATAAGATTTTAAGACATCCACACATAGGATTCAAAATGTATAATAGATAATGTGAAACAGAAAGTAAAGGTCCAAAGGGGAAAAAAGAAGGGAAAGGAATAAATATGAGAAAAGGAAGAAATGGAAACAAAGTCATTGTAAACAGGGAGGGGTAGAGGGGGTAAAGGGAGGGCTGGGGAATGGGCAAAAAAGAAGAACCAGGATGTATCATATAAAAGTACAAATTCCCAACAATTAATATTATCATATTGTATACCTAAAATGGGCCAATAAACTTGATGAATTTAAAAAGTTATTAAAGGCACAAGTTTAGTATTTTGCACAGCTCAAGATGCCTTCTACTGCATCCCAAGACAGCATGTGCACAGTAGGACACTGCTGCTGCCTCCAGCCGAATAACACTTAGAAACCCAGCAGGAGAAACCTGGTTGGAACAGTGTTCTGGGGTGGGGTCACTAATCGGTCTCCCTTACACACTGCCTTCCCAGGGCCACCTTTATGTCCCTATTTCTCAGACTGTAGATGATGGGGTTCAGGGTGGGGGGTACAATTGTGTAGAACACAGGCAGGAGAAGGTCCACAAAGGAGGGAGAACTCGAAACTGGCTTCACGTAGGCAACACTTCCAGATGTCAGGAAGAGCATTACCACCACAAGATGGGGGATGCAGGTGGAAAACGTTTTGGATCTCGCCTCCTTGGATGGAATCCTCATGATGGTAGAGAAAATGTACACATAGGAGAGAGTGATCAATGCAAAGCAGATAATCACAAGACACGTAATAAAAACTATGACTCTAATCTCATTGATGATTACTTTGGAGTCTAAGAGGCTCAGGAGCTGTGGAACGTCACAGAAAAACTGATGGACTTGGTTTGACCCACAGAACGGTAAGGAGAACATGGCTGCAACATGCGTGAGTCCAGAGACCACGCCACTGAGCCAGGACAAGGCCACCATCTTGACGCAGGCGCCGTGTTCCATGATGGCCGCATAGTGCAAGGGCTGGCAGATGGCCACGTAGCGGTCACAGGCCATCGAGGTGAGGATGGCCATCTCCGTGAATCCCAGGTCAATGATAAAGAAGACTTGCAGGGCACACCCAGACACAGAGATGGAGCTGTCATGGGTGAAAGAGTTGACAATAGATTTGGGGACTGTAGTGGAAATGTAGCAAAAATCTAAGAAAGACAGGTTTCTTAAAAAGAAATACATTGGGGTTTGTAGGCGGGCATCCAGCACGGTGAGCATGAAGATCAGGAGGTTCCCCATGAGAGCTGCCAGGTAAACTACTAGAAGTAAGACAGCATGCACGGTCTGCACCTTGTGAGAGGGAGAGAACTCCAGAAGATGAAACACAGCAGCTTCCATTTTGTTCCCCTCACCTATTCCTGAGGAGAGGAGAGTGAGTTATAGGTACAGCGATATGGCTGCCTGAAGGGTACTTCGCAAACAAGTACACTTTGATACATAAATGAAGCATTATGCATATACAAATGTGGAAACTCTCAAGCCAAACTCTCAGACACAACCCGGCATCTAAGACAAAGTGTATTCCCAGTCAGTGTACCTGTTTAGGGGTGCAGGAGGGACAACTACAGCGGAGAAGGACAAGGAGAACTGACAAGGAAATGGATGCTACTGAAGACGTGAGAAACACACACAGGCATAGAGAAAAATCACTTTCACTCCCGCTCAGTGAATATACGTAATGTATTCAATTTCATTCCCCTCTATTGAGTATACCTATTTATCTTGGAACACATTATTTGCTTCTGTATTACAATATAGGCCTGCAAGTGGCTGTTGACAGTTCTCAGCAGCTCTTCTCAGTGAAAGCACGGCTGTGTTAGAAATCGGGGACGTTCCGTGTGTGACAGCTGGCATCGATGAGACACAAGCACAGCTTCTCGTCGTAACCCTGAGGCGTTTGGTAAACGCCTCATATGGCTGACGGACAGGGTGAGGCGTTTCCTGCAGCACTGCTCTCTCTAAACCTCACCACCGATGTGTTGTAGTTGCACATTACTGGGCTTCCAGGAGATGTTTCCATCTCTGCAGAGTAACTCATCTCCTTCCTACCCTGGCCCCACTCTGGACCCTTTGTCTCTCCACAAGAAACGGTTCTTGAATTAAAATTGAAGCAACCTAAAGAAGCACACAGTGAAGCAAAACAGCGAGAGGATCCGGTATGAAGAACAAAGCAGACATATGGAGGAATGGTGGCAGTGCGTGGCCTGGAGAAGTGAAACTTGTAGAGCAACATCTATGAGCCAGGCCTGCAGAGGCATCGCCTAGATGATTTTACACTGACGTTCTTAAATAAAGCCACCTAGTGGAAGGCCGAGGTACAGAGGATCAGGGGTATAACTAAGGCGTAGCTGTGCATTAATCAGGAAATGTGTTTTTGATCACTCCAATCTTTTGTTTTACTTCCTGGTATTCAGAGTGCATGTCAAAGACTGAGATAAAAAGTAGGATATGGTGCATGCATGCACATCACCTACAAATATTAGACAGTTTCCACGGTGATTTTTCTAATATGCCTCCTATTTCATTTGTACCTGCTTGTTTTTATTTGGTTTGTTTTACTGCAATACAAAGACATCTCAGTTTAGTTCCTAGACCCGTGTAGTGGGCCAAACTGAACTCTGAAATACAGTTCTGCCCGTATTAATTTATGGAGCACACTTTATGGACAATAAATGGCCTCGGCTTAAGGTGTGTGATTGCAGGACTCTGGCGGTGGTAAATGTGAGACATCACTGCAGTCAGAGCAAAAGGTCTCCATGTGTCCGAAGCTCCTTATGCTTACTTGCGTGGCCCCCTGTCGTGGCTTCCTTAATCTGGGTGTGGGTACAACCAGTTGGTCTTGGGGGTTGACACCCCACCCAGGGACACAGAAAGGTTCACTGTGGCCAAGAAACAGACTTAGCCTCACTGTGGGCACCTGCTTCTAAGACACCCACTGAGGCACAGCTGGCTCCAACTCTTTGACTCATGTAATCTTGATGGTTTCATGGCGACACTTACCGAGACAGACAGTGAACGTGAGGGCTATCCTGCAGAGTTGAGAAAAGGGATCCCGACTTCCCAGCTGATTTTGAATTTTTTTTTTAAGTGTGTGAATACAAGCAGTTTAATAAGTGCACAGAATATCTTAACATCCACTGTGTGCACACACACCCCCCAAAAAGCTTACCCCATGATGTGACTAAAGGACCCCACATTCTCCAGTGTCTTCAAAATCAAACTTCATCCAAATAAAGGAAATGGCACGTGTTCTAAAGTCCGTGGGGCAACACCAGTAAATTAAGGGCACGATGTGAAAACCATAAACACACCCCACTGACTGAAAAACAAAATAACATTTTATGGTTTATTTTGTGAGACCATGGAATCAAACGTACCGCATGCGGACTGGTTTCTGTGGGGCTGGGCCATGGGGCAGTTTCGTGTTCAGACCCCCTTCTCTGTCTGAGCAGGAGCCTCGTGTGTCTGGACGTACTCAGACTAAACGTAAACACTCCGGGCTGCAGCCCTCGGTTCAGGTCGCAGAGCGCTCTCCTGACCCAGAAACCCGACCCATGCGGGCTCCTCGCAGCAGCGTTCTCACCTAGCGTGGTTTGCTTCACTGTCTTTGTGACACAGCCGTGATCAGTGAGTGAGACCGAGGGGTAGGAATGTCTGATAACTGCGGTCTCCGGAGGGGAAGCGCGTGTTCTCTGGGAGCAGGAAACTAATCCCTGGGAAAAACAACCAGACAGGTCCCTGTGGTGATGCAGTAAAAACGGAAATTAATTGAACAGTACAATCTGCCTTACGCCAGGAGGTTCAACTAGGTGTAAATCAGTACTGCAAATAAAACAAGAAATGATTTAAAATCTTACTCAGACACCAGGCATAAATCCACATCGGATTGTGGGGCTGAATTTCCACTCTTTAGATTCTCAGCCTAATGTTTCTACCTACCACTCACTTCCTAATGTTTTTCTTGTCCTTCTTCATAATCCCTTCTGTCTCAAGTCAAATTACTGGATGAAAAGGGAGCATTTGAAGTGCAAGTTTAATCTGTTAAAATTGTTTTTTTGTTGTCGTTAGTGCATAGAAATTATTTTTATGTTAGGTATGTTAATACCTTGTTAGTGAAAAGGGTGGCAAATATATTTTATACTCTGAAGTTTTGTGTTTATTTTTATAGAGTTACTGATAAATAGAAAGTATTAATTCTACTATACATTTTTATGCACTCCTTATTTTTGGATTTTATCTTTTTACTTTCTGGTTATCTATAAGAATGGCATCAGCCTGATGGTGGATTAGGACTCTAACACTTGTCAGCTCAGAAATATGAATTTGAACAATAATTCGAATTTATTAAAGTGACAGAACACTTACTCAGTCTGGAAAAGAAAATGAACATGAAATATTTGAAGGCCAAAATGGTCTAGTTAGATTAAATATAAATGTACCATCGCCTATGCACTTTACAAAGAAATTACAAAAAATCAAGGGCAAAAAGAGAAATTTGGAAGCAACAAGAATAGAGACTCAGTACATACAGGGAAAACCCTCTCAAGCCAAGAGCAGATCTCTAAGAAGACTCTAGCAGGCCAGGATATGGTGGGATAATATAACCAGTCTCAAAACAAAACAAAACAAAAGCCAGCCAAGTATATAAAGCTGTCCATAGAAAGGAAGATGATAGAAGGACTTTTTCAAACTAACAGAAGTTGTGAGGGAACAACATTAGATCACCTTTACAAGAAATGCTAATGGAGTTCTTCAAACTTAAAGGAAGCAAATTAATAACACAGAAACATATAAAAGTATAAAAGTCACTAAAGTACAGACACAGTCAAATTCACAATGTTATTGGCGGTTTGTAAATGAGATTACCTTCAAGGTTAGGTGTAAGGGCGATTATTAGAATAACAGTAGGTGCAGTATCGTATTAGATATAAATACAAAAACGGCATGAATGGTGACATATCCAAAGCATAATAACACGGTGGGGGGTAGGAGCAAAACAGAAAGATTTTCTGGGTCTAATTTTATTCATCAACATAATAATTTATAGTGTTTTATATATGGCTCATGATAATCACAAAACAAAACTCTGTAACATATAAATAGAAAGGAGAGTGTCAAAGTAAATCATTACAGGAAATTATCTAATCACCAAGGCAGCAAGAGGAAGGACATACGAATTTATAACACCACAGACAACAACTCACAAATGGGAGCTGTAAAATCTTACCTACTGCTAACTGCTATGAATACAAGTGGATTAAATTCTCACTCAAAAGACATACAAAGGGGAAGTGGAATTTTTTTTTTCCGTACCTGGGATCAAACTCAGGACCTTGCTCTTGCAAAACAGGCGGCGGAACCACTGAGCTAAATCCCCGGCCCAAAGTGGATTTTTAAAAAAGCCACCAGGAGTGTGCTGCACACAACAGACTCATCACATTTACGAACACAAAATAAAAGGAAGGGGATGGAAAACATACTCCATGAAAACAAAATCAAGAGAGTAGGTGCAGTTCTACTTACTTCCAATGAACAGGCTTTAGCTCAAGCAGCTGCTAAAAACATGGACAAGGTCATGACGTGATGACGGAGCACCTCCAGGTCTGCTCTCACGCTCTCTGCCCTCTTTCTCCTTCCCTTCCGCTGGCTCTTGCCCCTCTAACCCTGCCACACTGTGCCCCAAGAAGGAAGTCTCCAGGGCTACACACGGGGTCAGGAGCAGGAGAAGTGATCAGCTGCGCCGCCTGCTGCCACAAGACCAAGACCGTGGTGATCCTGGGGAAGTCCTGTGAAGTCTTTTCTTCTTTTGAATAGATCTTGTCCAGCCCTCTTATAATGAAGGGCATCTGTTTTCCATACTCTCACGGACTCATTCTCATTTCCTTCTTCCTTCGCTCCTTTCTACTTTCCTTCTTTGCTTCCTTCCTTTATTTTGTGTCCAAAGTTTCAAATCAAACACTGTTGTTCAGCTAAAAGAGAACATTTTTAGTTCTAGTTGAATTTTTAAAGGACAGACTGGTTATGACATATGTTTTACTGCATCTGCACATTAAATAAACATTCCTTTTCAGATTTAAAAGTGTAGTAAATTTGCTTCAAATATATAAATAACCTCTGAATTTTAGTTGAAAACTAAGCATTTGTCCTTTCAAAAAACATCTGAAAAAATACTATGACTTTTTGCCATTCCACCCTTGATAGAATAACACTGGTTTTGGGTTTCCTGTTTGAACAGCCATAAAATAGCTCCTGGAGTGCAGAGGTGAAACCCACGCCCGGGCCATCACTGTCGGTCTGCAAGAGCCTTACGATCAGCGCGGCCTAAACATTTACTCGAATCGGAATCCAAGACATTTCTTTCATCTATGTTTGCCAGTTTCTATGCTTTAGCTTGTTTCCCCTCGTGGTCTAACAGGCAGATCAGAGGCAGAAGCCCAGGGCTGGCTGTCACCACACTGGACTGTGCAGCCCATGCAGGTCAGGACGCAGGACTCATTAGCATCCCCGGCAGCACTCTGTCCCCATCTTCACATTTACCCAGGGCCTGAGCTTTGGAAACGTAAACCTGGTCAGCCTCACACTGCATATGACATCACACAGTCTATTTTTGTGGCTTATTTCTTTCTTCTACATTTCAATCGTGAGATTGATACTTGTTACTTTTACCACCATTTTTCTGTTTCCTATTTTTTGAAAATGTCTTGGTATAAAAATCTTAAAATATATTCATTCATAATAATACTAAGGACACTTTGGATTCGCTCCTGGCTGGGGTCTCCATGGGTGAGGCTACTCGGGCCAACCCTGGGCTCTGTGGCAGCGACACCACAATGGGAACTTCTGCATCATAAAGGGTGAGTATGTTCGGATTTAGAAAATATAGTTAAATTTTCTCCAAGTTTGTAGTAGTGGTAAAAGTTCCAGTTGCTCCTTATCTTCGTACGTATTTCATATTGAAATATTTAGCCACTCGATGAATCTGAGTGTTCCCGCTGGTACGCAGAAGCAGATTTGTACTCACCGCGTTTGTGTTACGAGGGACAGTGGGTTTATGCATGTAACACACCTCCCTCTGTCCACCCCTCTCAGGCCCGTCACGCTCCTCCTCCTCACCCACAACTCCTCTCCTCCTGTCTAGTGCTCTCCTTCGTACTTTCTTCTCCTCTCTTTTCTTGGTTACACATATGATAGAAAACGAGCTACACGTGTCCTTCTGAGGATGCCTTATTTCACTTAATATGGTGATCTCCCATTCCACTCCCTTTCCTGAGAATGACATTGTTTCATTTGTGTGGCTGCATCACACTCCACTGTGAGTGAACGCCATGTCTTCTTCAGCCATTCCTCATTCGTAGGCAACAAGGATGCTCCTGCGGACCGACTGCTGTGACTCGGGCTTCAGGAGAGCCGGCCATGCCCGAGCTTCTACAGTGTGCTGACCGTGATTACTCTGAGAATGTACCAAGAGGTGGCACGGTCGATGAAGCTGGAGCTCTATGTATAGCCTTTTTGAGGATTTGCCATACTGATTTTCACAGTGGCCATACTAATTTCCTTGCCCAACAAGAATAAGTAAATTGCCTTTCCCCATAAACTTGGAGGTGTTTATTGATTTTTTAAATATTTTTGATGGTTTCCCCCACTCTGACTGCACTCAGGACCGCTGGGGCTCCCAGCCCTGGGCCCCAGCGCCCCAGAGCTCCCTGCAGGGACTCAGGTGGGAGGCCCCGGACCGCACTGGACTCCAGCTTTGGACTCCATACTGGACTCCACCAGACCTGATGCCACAGCACACCATCCCACTCCACCACATGCACACACACTCATGCACATACACACATGCACACACTCACACACGTGCACACACTGCGTGGTGACTCACAGGAGTGTGTGCGATGGATGCAAGCACTCCTGTGTGTGTCATTACGTTTTTCACAAAGAGCAAAGTTATGCTAGGAGTTTTATTCTCATTTTTGCCACACTAATGTCAGACTATGTTTTCTTCCAAAAGGCCTGAATCCATGACATGCGCAGTGACCTGTGGGCCACAGAAGTAGATGCCCTGTGAGTTACGAGGAACAGTGTGGTGGTGCTTGGTTTCTGTATCCCTCACTGGACTTGAAATGCATCTTAACTGGGAAATGACTGAAGGCAGCAAATGGCTGTTGAGGTGTTAGTGGGGGGTGTGAGCGGGCGTTTCTTCCGCTTGGGCAGATGAACCTTAGTAGAAATCGCCATTTTCCAAAGCGACACTTTAATAGGAGGGCACTAGGCAGCAAATACAAACTGTCAATTACCTGGAATCCAAACGCTTTGCTGAAATTTTGAAAAATTGAAAACCTGCTGCCATAGAGAAGCAGTTGGTAAAATTTAACAACTTACTTCCCAGGGGCTCCGAGAACCATGTCAGGAGGAGCCCAGGGCCCTGGCATGAGGATCACAGTGCACACGCATGCACCCGCCTGTGCTCCCGCTTCCCTGGACCCAAGCACAGTTTGCCTGACTGCATGGGGGAGAAAAATCAAGCATAGAGACAGATGGGAGGGCAGCGAATCAGTGCGGGCAGTGTTCCGAGTGAGGTCTGGCCAGCCCCCCTGAAAGGCGCCAGGCTCAGACTCGACCCCCCAAGCCTCGCCCATGGTGGAGACACAGCGCTCCCGAGAACAGTCTCTTCAGAGCCTCTTTCATGTCCTTGTTCCTCAGTGTGTAGATGGGGGGGTTCAAGGCGGGGGTCACCATGGTGTAGAAGAGGGAGAGGAACTGGCCCTGGTCCTGGGAGTAGCTGTCCCGGGGCTGCATGTACATGTAGATGATGGTGCCGTAGAAGATGACCACCACCGTCAGGTGCGAGGAGCAGGTGCTGAAGGCCTTGTGCCGCGACTCTGAGGACTTGATCCTCAGCACAGCCTGCACTATGAAGCCGTAGGACATGAGGATGAGTGCGGGTGCCAGGATAAGGAACAGGATGCTGACCGTGAAAAGCACCAGTTGGTTGACCACGGTGTCTACACAAGCCAGCTTGAGGAGGGCGGGGACCTCGCAGATGAAGTGATCCAGCCGGCGGTTGCCACAGAGAGGCAGCCGCAAGGTGAAGGTGGCATGGACCAGGGAATTGGCCACCCCACTGAGCCAGGAGGCCAGGGCCAGCTGGCAGCACAGCCAGGGGCTCATGATGGCTGCGTAGTGCAGGGGTTTGCAGACTGCGACATAGCGATCCAAGGCCATCACGGCCAGGAGGACGCACTCTGTAGAGCCCAGGGCCAGGGAAGTGTACAGCTGCACCACGCACCCCCAGTATGTGATGGTCTTCTCCGGGCCCCGCAGGTTCACCAAGGTCTGAGGGGCCAGGCTAGTAGTGAAGCAGAGGTCCAGCAAGGACAAGTTGCTGAGGAAGAAGTACATGGGGGTGTGCAGAGGCAGGTCCAGGTAGGAGACCACAATTATAGTGATGTTCCCCACCAGGGTCAGGAGGTAGCAGAGGAGGACAAGCCCGAAAAGCACAGGTTCCAGGCCAGGGTGGTCCGAGAAGCCCAGGAGGATGAAGCCAGGTAGGGCACTGTCATTGGCCCGCCCCATCTGGATGGGGTGCCACACCCACCGCCAGCCTGTGCGGAGAGCCCTGGCCAGGGACAGCGGGACAGGTGCTTCCAGAGTGACAGGCAGGAGAGCTGAGAGGAGGGGGTGTGGCCACCTCCGTGCTTACAGCTGAGGCTGTGCGTTCACAGCAGTCCTTGTGGGTTCCCACATGCTGTATGAATGTGTGCCCCGCAGGACACGAGGGCATTTAAGGGGGATGGCATCTCCGCAGGCTTAGACTTCTGCTAATTCTGCAGGCACACAGGCACAGATGTGGACAGGAAACCACCCCCCGTGCCCACCCAGGGGCTTCTGCACACCTCTGCTTCTGGCTTCAAGAGAAAAGGATAGGAGGTCCGTGCATCTACCGTCCACCTAGGGACAAAGCAAGTGAACAGTTACTCAGCGAACAATATACACCTCAAAGGGCTATTCCAAGGCTGGACAAAATAAACATTTTTTCAAGCAGGGTTTGTAAAATAATATATGAGAAAATGATTATTTCCAGATGAGAAGTGTTTACTAATGAAGCTAGTTCAGACCCTTTGCCCAGGGCTGAGATGGGAGTGAAAGGGCAGAGAAGATCATTTGAGATGTGGGGACAAGATTAGCCATCATTAACAGGTAGTGATAAAGTACTTGGGGAGCCAAAATACCTGACATGGATTCAAATCATCTCATAGCACTGCAAGTTCACTCGCTGACTAAACTGTCAAAAAAAGAAAAAAAAAAGAATAAAGCTGCCCCTCAGATATGTATTTTTAATTTAGATGTTAGTTAGACAGGCTGACTAAAACTCTTGGTAGTTGAGAAAAGATATTTACCCAAAAATAATACATATTATTTTAAAAAGAGTTCGAGAAATGTTACTCCTATAAAAGTACTTATAATGTGATTTTTCAAAACTCAGACAGGGTCAGGGGTTGAGCTCAGCAGCCCTGTGCCTGCCCACTAAGAGTAAGATCCTGAGTTCAATCCTGGTGCCAAAACAAAACAAAACGCACTTACATTTTTTATTCAGTCTCTAGAAATAAAGTGCTTAACTTTGCCATGCGGGCAATGAGACAACATCAAAGCCTCCATACGGACTGCAGAACGGTGCTCTCAGCCCTTCTGGCGTGGACACAGAGTTGGTGGAGAAGGCCTTGCTGCAGGGAGAGCCTGACGGGAGGATGTTGATCAGAAGCCAGGTGGAGGAAGTGGCTGAGAGGCCAGTGTTAAAAGTACTCGTGATTTCTAACGGAAAGGAAGGGGAATTGAGCAGATAACATGAACTTGTACTTTTTTGGGGGTACTGGGGATGGAACTCAGGACCTTGTGCTTCCGAGACAGGTGCGGGGCCACTGAGCTAAATCCCTGGCTCTACTTTGTTTTCACGATGAGAATAGTAGGGAAATATGAAAAACAGTGCAATTTTCAATCTGGAAGGTTTCTGACTTGTCGAGACCCCAGCTCACAGCCGGCATCACAGACCGCGCCTGCCTGGATGGAGCAGCAGGGCTGGGCCTTTGCTGTGTGGGCTGAGTTCCTCCTCCCTGCGGCACCTCCGTGTCCCTCCATGGTGGACCGTGGCTCCTGTGGCCCAGACACCCTTCTGCATCTTTCTCGGGGTTTCTCCTGCCCATGTGTCTGTGCACTGAAACTGCATCACCCAAGGAGAGTTAGGAGGAGGGGCATGGGGAGACGCAGACATCCGCACAATTCACCCCAGGAGAATGGCCACACCCACAACAAGGGAGGGCGGGGGAAGCAAGCCCAGGCTTCGCCACCAACACGAAATCAACAACAAAGACGTGGGACCAAGCTCCTTCTCCTGGGTTCTTAAAATGACAATCAGTTGTGTGTGAAGAAGGAAAACAAAACACTTGTAAAGTGAATAATTGTAGTTTAGATTGCAAAAGACTGTAAAATCCAGGTTTAAAAACTAGAAGTCGTGATGTTCTGCACAAGACTGGCTCAGCATGTCTTCTGTGGTTCTGTAGGACAGATGGGGTTAGAAAAGGAGGAAACCCACAAGGCAAGTGAGAGTGTGATGTGAGCTGAAAGAAGAGGGAAGCTCACCTTCTTGCCTAGTTCTCACTCAGTAACCAGGATGCCCACCGTGGGCTCCCCAGGTATCCGGCAGGCCAGGCTGAGCCCCGCGGACCTGCTAGGACACACGCCTCCCTCTGGGGCCACCACGGCCAGCAACTTGCCCCTCCCTGCTGTCCTGACTCTGCTGGCCTTTTCCTACGCTGGCACCAGTGACAGGGATGCTCAGCCCCGTCCGGGAAATCGTCCGTGGCCTTCTGCGGGGCATCAACCAAGACCACAGCCTCCTGGGCCCCAGCACTGGCCTCTAGCCATTCTGCTCCTCAGCCACCCCAAATGAGATTTGGGTCCGGCTGGGGTAGCCAGGCTTGGCTGCTGTCCCCACCTCCCAGATACATGTCTGTCACCTTCTGTCACTGCCCTCTCCTGGTCTCAGTCGGTGAGATCATCAGGCCCATGCTGAGGGATTCCCCAGGATCTGCTCGGGTCCAGAGAACCTACTTGGTCAGTGGCTCCTCCAGTGTCCTTGGCCACACAAATCCCTGGCTCACTGGCCCCTGAGTCCCAGAGAAATGTGGTGACAACAGAGTACAGTGCAGAGCCGGGAGTCAGGAAAGGAGCCGTCCTCTGGGAAGCCCTGGACTCTTACCCAGGAAAAGACAAAGTTCGTTTAACACATAATTAATTGTAAGTTATTACTTGAAAGCCATTATTGTTTGAGGATACTTTTAAGTCACCACAAAAGTGAGGGGAAGTAGAGAGAGTTTTTAAAATTGTGAAATGTCACCCATTCCGAAGGCGCAGGGTGGCTACTATTGCAAACACCGACACAGGCAGCAGGAGGCCTGGCTTTTCCCAGCCACAGCTTAGCCTCCCTGGTGCAGGGCCCACTCTGTCCGAGGAGCTGCATCTCAGCACAAGAGGCTCCTGCACAGCAGGCCTCAGTGCAAGGTCTGTCTCCCCTGTCCCTGTCTGTGCATCTGTTACCTGTTATCACCACTATCCAAGATGTGAGCATCAAAGACGACTTAATTTTAAATTGTTGATGTTGTACTTACCAACTGTAGGGCACCAACTTGCATTTAGTAATAGCTCATTTCCATATCTGATAGGAAAAGTCAGAGACCCACATCGTCTGCCTATCCCACAGAACCTCACTGCTTTAATACAGGACAAGCTCGGCTGTGACCGGGACTGTCTGACCCTACATTGTTCACTTCTCTGGACTCCAGCAGGATACCAGGCACTGGCGTAGGACTAAACAGAGGAATCTGTACTTACAGCCAGGATGGGTTAAGTGAGTTCAGGAAGCCTCTTCTCAGCTGTGTGATTCTTCCAAATCTCAGGGTTTCCAACCCGCGAGACAGCTGGCTGCAGAGCGATGACGTGATGTGCTGAGGCCTGGACAGGAGGCCGAGCCCAGGCTGTGTGCAGGGATGTGTTCTCGGGGAGGCGAGTGTCCCCAACGGGTAATTAGCTCCCTGCTGGGGTCACCCAGGGAGAAGACGGAGCCTGACTCCCAAAGGTGTTGTAGTCCCCTTCACTGCCGAGCATTCTGGGACCTTCTGCCGCAGCGGAAACAGAGCCATCAGCTGTGTCCAACATTTAAGCACCCGCACACACTCTCACACACACACAGCCCACTCCTGTTCGGTGCTGCTCCCTCCCTCCCTTACAACAGGGAGCGTCTGCCCTGGCCCCTGGAGTGTCCGCCCTGGTCCCTAGAGCTCACCCTTCTTCCACTGCTGCCTCCATCCCCTCATGCTGCTCACTGCGAGCATCTCTGTCCAACAGACAAAGCCCTTTGCAACAAAACTGTCAGAACAGCGATGTCCACATCTACTGTCTGTCCTGCAGCTCATTCACTCTTAGCCCTAAACGTGCATCCGCCCCACCCACTGCAGTGTCCACACCGAATCGTGCGTCAGGTCCCTCCTGAGTCCACGTGGACGCCCCCAGCTTTCCTTCCCCATCTCCAGCTGCTCACACGCAGACACCCTTCCTCTAGACCTAAGCCTTGCTCCGCTGCCGAATTTCCCATAGGGACAGCAGCACTTTCCCAGTTAAGCAACCCAGACACGAAGTCCATCCTTGATTGTACTTTTAGTAACAGCATCACCTTCACCAATAAACCAACTGTGTGATATCAGCGCCCAAAGATCTGCAAATGTAACAACAGGAAGAGGCTGCTGACCCTCTCACCCCATCTTCACGGTGACCGGGGTTAGCCGTGTGCACTCTCAGGGCACAGAAAGCCTCATGCATGATGGAACTGTTTCACTGAGGAAGACGAGGCTGAGTCCAGCCAGTGCGGAGGTGAGCGGTGGAGGCAGAGCCAGGGTCGGGACGCATAATGCCCCTCCTCTCTGGGCCTGGACCTGCTGCACAGTAACAGGGACACTGGCCAATGTGCAAATCTGAATGTATTTGCCAGTATCTACATCCTCTCCCAGCAACGTCCAGGCTCCTACACTGTCCTGTGTGGGTCTGAAGCCTACCCAGTCTGAGTAAACAGCCTCCTTCAAATTTTAAGGTTTTCCTGTGTGAAATATGCCAACGTGGCTTGTGGCATTAGTTTGTGAAGAAAATATCTCATTTAAGGTGTTTTTCAGACATCATTTCCACTGGACTTCCACTGCGCCGTGTTTAATCAGCATGAGGGGCACGCGGGAGCCGTCTGCACGTGTAGACCTCTCTGACCTTCCTTCATCTCCTCCACAGCAGGGAGCTGGGCGGCTGCCCAGTGCAGTGTGAGGCTGGAGTCTGCCTACAAAGCCCACTGCGGGCTGCGGACGCTCTGCGTCTGTGCACTGCTCCGCCCAGAAGGTGGGGCCCGCAGCCCTGGGGCCTCCACCCTGACTTCCCTCCTGCAGGAGAGCCCGTGCCTGCTTCACAGTGTCCAGCGCACCCCTCCTGAGTACTTACTCAAATCGTGCGGCTCTTTCTTTACTCCCCTCCCTGTTTTTATTGCAGTCAGTAAAGTACCTGGCGGCTCTGTCTGTCTCCCCGCTGAAGCTCTCTCCTCCACACCTCTGCTGGGCCTTCTCCCCATCCTCCTGACCCTGAAGTGGGAGCAGTGTCCCAGCGGCACTGAGCCCCAGCCCCTCCGCCTCCGGCCTTCCCAGACGCCCACTTCCAGGTCCCCACTTGCTTAACCTTGTCCCTGAGGGCTGCAAGATCCAAGATCCCAACCACCCCCCCCTCAGCCCTGGAGCAGGATTGGCAAACAGTTGGCGGCCCACGGACACCAGGGCCCTAAAATACCTAGCTGACTACAACAAAAGCTTAGTATAGAGCTGTGGCAGCTGTAGAACATGCATACTCCACGCAGGTGTGAACTGTACTTCCTAATGCTCCACAGCAAGCAGCAGGAGCATTATTTTTATTTTTGTTCCATGTCTCCCCACGTTTGACCCTAGACTCCTCTTAGCAAGAACGCCATCCATATTTGGAAGCTTGCTCTCACAGCGTCTTGGTAGAATGCAGGGCCTTTTAGAGACAGGGTGTCTGCTGGTTGAAAGCTGAGAGAGAGTTGCCTGCAAGTCAGGGAAGAATCGGAACCCTTGAGAAGATGGGGGAATAGGGGAAGAGGCGGGGTGATTGGGGATGCCACCCATAGCTGCCTCAACCTGCCCAGAACACAGTTTTTGAAGAGTTCTAAATGTCTGAGGAAAGCTTAAGGAGCCAGCAGCAAAGCCCCCAATCCCTGAGCAAACAGATGCTTTCGGGGGATTTACACAGTCTTTGGGATCTACGCTTAAACCGTCATCCAGACGTGAAACGTCAGGAAAACCCTGGCTCCTCCGTCCTCAATCTTGCCAGAACCTCTGGCCTCCCTCCCTCCACCTCCTCTCTGCAGCCCCTGGTTTTTCCTGAGCTCTGCCGTGGTTAGAGCAATCCCATTCACACGGGAGGGCTGCAGGTGCCTCTCTGAGCTTCTACAAAGTACTGGAATCCATCTTCATGCAGTTTCCTGGAAGCCAGATATAAAATGCCTCAGCTCCCAGAGAAGAAATCTCACAGGACAGGATGTCTTTGGATGCTGAATGAAGATGACTTTTAGCACAAATACTAAAAAGGGTTAGACGAAGGTTTTTCCTGGATGATAGTTCCCACAAATAAATAATTTCATACATAATAAATTCAGGGTTATAATAAAAGTTATGAATTACATGTGTTTGCCAGTCACAGAGGAAAATTAGAGCTCAGCCTTGGGAATTCACTGTTTCATTGGCTCACTGTTCATTTAGAGAACTGGGAAGTTCGTGACTGCTTTCTTCTGTTTATCCTTCTTATGTTGTTTTGGAATCTCTCCTTCCAAATTGTGAACAGAGCTCAGGTAAAATAAAGGGCATTTGACTCCTGACAGCTTGCCCAAGGTACATCCACAGTAAGTCCTTGAAGACGAATACGTCGTGTTCTAGTTGGAGCTACAGAGGCTGATGCTGAGTGTGTTGGGTAAATGAAGGGACCAGCAGCTGTTCCATCTACTGGCTATGTCCACGTTGATCTTAGTATTCTAAAGCACTTAAACTGTGTCCGTGCGCGCCCTGTATAATAAACTCTGTGCTACAGATGACAAAATGTGCATTGGCAAAAAAGCCACCTTATGCTTCTCTTGGGTAATAAAAGCTCAAATCCAGACACATACCCTACAGGAGTTTGCACTGTGCTAGACATCCTGTAAGCAATTAATCAAAACAGAAAAATGTCCCAAGTACTTTCCTATTAGAAGTTGCTTATCACACAATTATTTTGGACCATATTCTTGTGATCATGTAAACTTTCCCCCTAGGATCTTCCTTGGGTCTCGGACTGTAAAGAAGAGGGGTGGACACAGGGGTCACTGTGGGTACCGCAGCCAGGCCGCTCACTCAGTGCAGCCCAGTGTGAGAGACACAGAGTGAACCACACAGCTGTGGGCGGACTTCAATCGCCCAGGCCAACAACAGGCAGGGACATTGCTGGCCGAGCAGAGGGCCAAGATACTTATAGGATTCATTTGTTCATTGTAGGTTGAAACACAGAGCACTGTCTTACACTTAGACTGTGCGATCATGCTGAAGTGAAGCAGGAAGGGCTGCACTCGGAGCTCTCTGTGTTCACACACATTTTCCAAGAGTCGAGATGCAAAATTCATTCCTTTCCAAAATAGAAACAGCGTAGGCAAAGCCATGGGCAGTAACATGTGAAACAAAGAGCAATATGTTAGTGTAAATAGTTAAATCAGTTTGATTCAGCTTTATTTGAAAGATAAATCTCAAAGTCATGGAACAGGATCTGTGATAGAAATGTAGAGGCACAGTGAGGACACAAGGAGTTGCGACTTGCACTGCTCCCCAGCCTCAGGCCACCACACCTCAGCTCTGCTGCTCAGGAAGCTCCAGGTCTTCTTGGTCCCCAGGATCTGACACACAACTGGGAGGCTGGTCCCGCGGTTCCACGCCTCACCACCACATGTGAGCCACACTCAACATGCACACCTGTCCTCTTGGACCCTGTGAGGCCCCAGACCTCAGCTCCCAACAGCCCTCCCAACTGCCCATGGAGCTCACTCCAGCCCCTAGGACAAGGCTCACCATGGCCTGTGTTCACCCTGAGTCACAGGAAAGCTCAGCACCCACAGAGTCACTTGCAACCAACACAGAAAGGTCGGCCGGTCTCCACGGTCAACTTCATGTGGCCAAGCACTGATTTCAAATGAGTCCCACAGATGCTATGCATACTTTTCAGAGGGACTCAAAACTCAGAGAACTGAAGTGTTTGCCCTTGCAGGACCAACGGCAATGGCAAGTCATGTGTTTTCCACAACACAAGAAGATGCCTACCATAGAACTACTTTAAATTAATTTTAGAGTCATGAAAATTTTACTCCCAGGATACTCTCGAGGGCCTTCCTCAGTGCTGCCTTCACCTCCCTGTTCCTCAGGGTGTAGATGAGAGGGTTGAGCATGGGCGTGACCGCCGTGTAGAAGAGGGAAACGAACTTGGCCTGGTCCTTGGAGCGGCTCCGGGCCGGCTGCAGGTACATGAAGACAATGGTGCCGTAGAAAATGACCACCACCAGCAGGTGGGATGAGCAGGTGCCAACAGCTTTCCTCCTGCCTGCAGCCGATGTGATGCCCAGCACCGCCCGGGCAATGAGGCTGTAGGAGCCCAGGATGAAGGAGACAGGCACAAGCAGGAACAGGACGCTGGCTGCAAAGAGCTCGGCCTCATTGAAGGTGGTGTCCACACAGGCCAGCCCGATGAGCACGGGGACCTCGCAAACGAAGTGGTCCACGAGGCGGTGCCCACAGAGGGGCAGCTGCAGGGTGAGCGTGCACTGCACCAGGGCGGTGGCCACACCACTGAGCCATGCCAGGGATGCCAGGGCGTGACAGAGCTGAGGGTGCATGACAGAGGCATAGTGCAGGGGACGGCAGACAGCCACATAGCGGTCGTAGGACATCACGGCCAGGAGGACACACTCTGTGGAGCCCAGCGCAAGGGACACATAGAGCTGGACCACACAGCCTCCGTAGGAGATGGACTTATCTGCACCCCGCAGGTTTACTAGGAGCTGGGGGATGACACTGCTGGTGAAGCCGAGGTCCAGGAAGGAGAGATGGCAGAGGAAGAAGTACATGGGTGTGTGCAGCTTGGCATCGGAGAGAGACACCAGGATGATGCTGGCATTGCCCAGCAGGGTCAGGAGGTAAAGGAGCAAAATCACCCCGAAGAGAACCAGCTCCAGCTGGGGCCTGTCCGAGAAGCCCATGAGAATGAAGCCTGGGAGGGCACTGCCGTTGCTCCACCACATGGCCTGGCTTGGCCGTCCACCTAGGAGCGGAAGCCTCCTCAGCGAGAACCACAGCACTTAGGGCCACGTCTCTCCAGTGAAGGCTTTGCTTTCAAGGTGCAGGAAACAGCACTTCAGACATATGTGAAGAGAGAAGGCCAAAGTAGAGAATGTCAGGGTATGAAGCCCTCCTTGTCCCATCCCATGTCAGACTCGGACCACTGGGCACTGCTCACCATGTGCCTGGAAGTGAGAAACAACCAAGAATGAGGTTTTCTTCAACTTTCATTAACATCAGTTTTGTAAAAGTACGGGAATTCAAGCATAGCCTAGACAGCTCAGTGACTTGGTATGACACTGTCTCAAAATAGAAAAGGTCTGAGGTATTGCTCTGTGTGAAAGCTCTGAACTCCACCCCTAGCACTCCAAGAAACGGGACCAAAGGTGGAGGAAGAAAAGCGGAAAAGAGAGGAGAAGAGGGAAGGGGAGAGAGGAGAGGAGATTTGCATACAAATGGATATTTTAGCAAATTAAAAGGAAGAAATGAAAATGGATGAAGTTTTACATAGACTGAAATAAGGAGCCTGGGTAGTTAAGAACAGGCTCTCTCCGCTCACTCCTGAGCCAGTCTGCTCGTGGCTAAATCCAAGAGTAAACTGAGATTGTTCGCCGACCTCACACACACCTGCAACATGTCAATACTCATGACTGAGGCGACACCGCGCACACCTACAAATACAAACATGTAACTTACAGGACTGCAACAACCCCTCAATTACACAATTAGGAATGCATGTGAATGTAACCACTTTTCTGGGCAAACGCCCAAACCCCCAGTTATCAGAAGAGCAATGTAACCATTAATCATTGCTACTTTTTATCATCCAGCCAATGCAGACGTGTGTCTTGGCTCTGAGGCTGTTTTTCTAAACAGAATTCTGCTCTGTTTTTAATATTGCTTAGGTACGTCTTCCCTTCATCAGTGATCAGTAGCTGCTGTGTCCAAAGTGCCCCTTCTATGTTATGGATGCACCTGTGACCAGTGCCTCACGGGCCGCCTGCCCTTCAGGAAGGCATGTGGCCTGTAGAGTGGGGTCACTCGCTCTGGGCTCTGGCGCCTCAGGCTCTCATCCTGGCTGGGGCCTGGTGCTCCGAGACTCAGGGTCCTGCTCTGAGACCTGAGGACCGACTGTCCTCTGCAGGGCAGGCTGAGAGGATTCCAGGTCCCTCAGTGCTGTGCAGAGCAGCACATGTGAGCAAACCAGGTACTGGCAGTGTGCACAGGACAAGGAAAGGCAGGGCGGAGGCCAGCCCTTGGGTCTTAACCAAGCCCCACTGGCCAGCTCTCGCTGCTGTCTGCTTTGGGCACCGTAGACCCCTCCTTGCTGACCATTTCCTGTCCCCAGGCTCAGCGTGGCTTTCCAGCCTGATTCCCAGCCCCACAAGTGCCTGTCTCAGGGTCTACTCACTGCCCCAGGGCCATGCACCCTCCAGATCTGACCCACACACTCGGTTCTTCTGGAGCAGCCACCTCCACACTGACTTCTGCTGCACTCGGCTCCGGTCTTTGCACATGCGTGTGATGCTTCTCTGGTCACCACTGGCACCCGGGCACCCTCCAGGGGGCGCTGTCAGGTGAGCTGTGTGTCCAGGCAGGGTCCTCGCCCTCGAGGGCTGCAGGACCATGTGGGAAGACACCGTGGACTGCGCTCCCCACCCCTCAGGAACCGGGTGCATCTCAGGGACCCACGCGGGTCCTGACATGGCCACAAACCACACGTGGGGCAGCGGTCACCTCAGCGAGAGGACTTGGCCATTGATGAGGTCCAAAAACACAGGTGAAACTGCACTAAGTGTGTGCAGGAATAAAGAATGGCAGACGTGAACGATGCACTCTGTTAGTATCACTTAGGTTGAAGAGAATTCTTCATATAGTATAATCGATAAATATACTACGCTAATGATATATTTGTGTAACAATGTGGATTTGTGATCATGTGAATAGATTTCCATATGAGTAAAAATAAAATTTAAACCTTTTCCATTTATCTCATCGTGTTGTATATTATAGCATTTAATATTCAATTTTCACATACTGCTCTATTCAGTTATAAACACACAGACACTTCCCTGCTTTTTGCTTGCACATTTTGAAGCATTTTACACATGCTTGTGTCTGTGCGTAGATGTGAGCTCAGACATTAGATGAAAAGCTGGTGCTGGACACCAGTTCAGTGACTTCCCTGCGGCACTCGGTGACCCAGGCCGGGATCCGAGCAGGGGAGAAGCGAGGTCAGCACCTGCAGGGCGGCCCTGAGCCCCAGAGAAGGCTGCCGGCACTCACCGCGAGAGGCTTCCCTGTCCTGGGTACACAGCGCAGGACTGGCGGTACCCGCTTCCCGTCCAGTCATCCTTCAGAGGGGACACGGAGGCTGAGTGGGGAAGTGACACCAGGAGACACTGGGATAGGAAGGCCCCCAGCACCCGCCCTCTGGAGTCCGGCTGGCAAGCCCAGGTCCTGGAAGACCGAGCCCTGGAGTCCAGGCCGCCTCCGTGCTCCCTCTGCCTGGCTCTGGGGCGCAGCGGGGAGCTTTCCATGCACGCTGGCAGGCTGACTGTGGAAGAAGGCCCCCTCGGTACAGTTGTGCGGCTCCCAGTCTGGGGGTTCGCTCCACGGAGAAGGCCTAGCTGAGAAGCAGCTGACAAATGGGGGCAGGTGGAGAAGGGGAGCCCCGGAAGTGCCTCCACCATGGCAGCGTGGACCCCAGAAAAGCATAATGGTGAGTGCTGGGCTTTCTGGGCAGATGCTATCAAACAAGCGAGCGTTATTCACAGGAGGAAATTGCTAGGAAAATCCTAAAGACCTGCTGGGTGCAGACGTCACCAGTCACAGCTTCTCTGAGCATATGATGAGGTCTCTGGCTGGCGCATGCCAGGAAGAAGATACACTCACCTCAGTCCTGTAAGACACCTGGGCCGATCTCAGTCGTCCTGGCCTTACTGGAGGGGCCCCTGATTCTGCAGAGGAATGAAAATGTGCAGAAGGGAACTGTGCTGTGCAAATCCGATGTATGCCGTGCGTATCACTGTGAGAGGTGAGGCTTAGACGTGGAGGATTTGGAGCCCACACAACGCCGCCCCCCACCCCGGGACTGTGGCCCTTCAGGGATGGCTGCACCCAGCTCGTGGTGTTTCCTGCTCGCCCACCCGCCCCTCTCTCAGCTCCCCGCGCTGGAGTCAGATTTCCATCCTTGTAAGCATCGGCTTCTGCCTACAGGAGAAGAAGTGATCAAACACTTCACGATGTGCTTTACAGAAACCTGAAATACTCTTATCATGCTACATTTTAAATTTTAAATGAGGTGCATTTCAACTGTTAAGGAAAAACATAAGAACGGTAAGTATTACTTTTTCATTAAGTTTTTGGTATGTTTTAAGTACACAATATAATGACGTTCATCCCTGGGATCTTGTACCTTTACGTGATGGATCTCGGTTCTTATTTTGTCCCTATTCTCCTGCCCTCCCTTCACCCCCTCCACCCCTCCCTATTTACAAAGACCTTTTCCCATCTTTTCCTTTTCCCGTATCTTTTCCTTTCCCTTCTTTCTTTCCCCCCTACCCCTCCCACTATCCCTCCCCTTTGGACCTTTTCTTCCTGTTTCACATTATCTGTTAGACATTTTGATTCTCATTTACACTTTCAGTATGTCACATTAGAGAAACTATTCGGCACTTACACGTCGTGTGTGTCCTTTATTTCACTCAGGAGTATCTTCTGGATGAGCATCCACTTGCTGCAACTGACTCTAGCATTAATGAGTGCAGTGCAATGATTCCATGCTTGACTACTCTGTACCATATGTAAATCGAGTTAATCATACTGACCTAACATTGATCATTTCTGTGTCGTGAAAGCCCTCAAGAGTCTCTCCTGTAGGTTTTCAAAATGTGCTCTTCATCACGGATCGACCCCTACCACCCTCCCTGTGTCCAGGGCCTGGCCACCTCCATGTGGAGTTAGGGACTGGAGGGAGATCTACAGATGGGAGGGACCAAGCAATGGAGGGAGGAAGGGTGAAAAGGAAGGAAGTCTCGTGTTGTACCTGGCCAGCTCCTCACGGGGAAGGTAATCTGTGCTGCTAACATGCACTAATACCATTTTTAAAATCAGTGAGCCATGTATTATGACCAGATTCCTAACTCACAGAGGAAGTTGCAATGAAAGCCTTGGAAAGATAGGGCCAGGGCACAACCAAAGACTCCCTCACATCTCCTGGTGGTCAGTAGTCTGTTCAAGCAGAGGATTGGGAAAACTTATTTCAGGCACCTTTCCAGAATGGTAAGGTGCTGTAAATGTAGGCCACTCTGCAAGGGGCTCCTCCTCTCCTGATGTCCAGAGAACAACCCTCTTACCCCGAGGCCAAGGACTCAGCTGAGCCAGGCTGCACCCCAGAGAGCGTCCTGGTGGGCCTCTGGGAACCACACCCACCGCCAGGAAATGCTCATTAAACCGTAGGCCAAGGACAGCTGCGCACCCTGGTCCCCATGGTCATCGATGCGTCTCATCACGCACTCTGGCGCAGTCCAGGGAATTTTCCCAGCACTGGGAGCCCAGCTCTCTTTGGACCCATCCGCCTCTCCCTGCAGCCAACTCCAGGCAGGCAGCCCTCCCTGTACCCACCCCGTCTTGGTGATCTCTCCTTGGACCTGGCAGGTTCCGAAGCTGTTGGGGCTGATGCAAAGCCCAGCATCACCTCCCCGATGACCTCCTCAGCTCTTGCTGGTTTTGTTTGCTCTGTTTCATCTCCCTCACATCCCCGCTCCTGCCCGCACTGGTGCGATGCTGCTCACTCCCTCCTGACACGGAAACGTTCTCCTCTGGCCGGGCCTGTGTTCACACGTCACTCCTCAGAACCTTTTCTCCACTGCCACTGAAACAAACCCTCCCAATCACACCATTTATTTCAGTTTCTAGCATCTGAAGCACAAATCTTAATCACATAATTATTTTTAAATTC